AGTACTACTACTACTACTAGTACTACTACTACTACTACTACTACTACTACTACTACTACTACTACTACTACTACTACTACTACTACTACTAGTTCGGGTGCTGCGCCAGGCTCGTGGCCTCGGCCGGTCCGCTGGATCCCTCTTGGCGCCCGCCCGGACCAACCATGGCTGGCGGCGGATCTGTGGATGGCCGGGGGCCACTCCATGGCGGGGCTCGCTGCCTCTTCAGGTCCCGCAAGCTGCGCGTCCTGACCAGGAAAGGCTAGCGGCGTCTCCTCGCCCTCGGCGGCGCAGCTCGGCGGGCCGTCCTGGTCGGCCTTCCCGGCGGCCCTGCCGCTCTCCTCCTCGTGGCTGCCTTCGCCGTCGTCGGCTCGGGCGTGGCCATCCTCTGGCCCGCAGCATGTGGCCGTCGCGGTGAAGCTGGCGTACGGGCTAACCCCCAGGGGCGCGTCCAGCCACGCCAGCACTGCGAAGACGGCCGTGGCGACGCTGCACTCCAAAGTGTGTAGTGGCCGCATCCTGGCTGCCGCATCGCGGGCCGCGTGACCCCCCCTTCTGGGGTCACCGCCCGCACTCCTCAGGGCCTCGCTGGCCCGGGCCTCTCCCGGGCCGAGCAGGCGAGCTATGGTCCCGCCCGCCCACTCTAAAAATGCTTGGGCCTTGAGCGAGACGATTGCAGAAGAGAAAGAGAGAGAGAGAGAGGAAGGGAGAGAGAAAGGCGGAGGGCAGAAGAGGGGCTACGCCAGCGATCAAACCCTTAGTTATTTCTGGCGAGAGGCAGAAGCAACCAAGCAGACCATCGCAAGGCAAACGGCCAGTCCACATTGTCGAGTATCAGTCAGTTTGGTTTGTTTGTTTTTCTTGGGGAGGGTCCGCTGGCCCTCGGGCCTTTCTCGCCCAGGGCCTCGGACGTCGGCTGAGCATTATCGATTGCTCCGATCGCGGGGCCAGTGCCCTTACGCATGGCACTGGACGCCCTGAGAAGGATTGAATATCGATGCTCGGGGTGGCTGGGAAACCAAAGGGGGAGGGCATGGCGTGCGCTTCTCGATTTGGTTTGTGAGAGTCCCATTCGTCACACGGGCAGCGAGAGAAGTGACCCTTCGGACCCCAGTGCTTCAGGGAGGCCGTGGCTGGGGGGGTCTCCTCCTCACCCTCCCTCCTCAGGCACGCTCGACCTCCTCACCCTCCCTCCTCCTCCTCTCCCCCCTCCTCCTCCTCCTCCTCCTCCTCCTCCTCCTCCTCCTCCTCCTCCTCCTCCTCCTACTCCTACTCCTACTCCTACTCCTCCTCTCCTCCTCTCCTCCTCCTCCTCCTGCTCCCCCTCCTCCTCCTCCTCCTCCTCCTCCTCCTCCTCCCCTCCTCCTCCTCCTCCTCCTCCCTCCTCCTTCTCCTCCTCCTCCTCCCCTCCTCCACCTCCTCTCCTCCTCTCCTCCTCCTCTCCCTCCTCCTCCTCTCCCTCCCACCTCCTCCTCCTCCTCCTCCTCCTCCTCCTCCTCCTCCTCCTCCTACTCCTACTCCTACTCCTTAGCGCGCCTGCTCGTCCCTGGCCGCAGGCAACCGTGGTGCGTCGAGCCGAGAGGGTCGATTCCATGCGCATTGTTTGTGTGATCAGCTACAGTAAACCCATTCAGTAAGAGACCAGCCTACCAGCAGGCACCCGCAGAAGTTCCTCAGTCCGCCAATGGCCCAAGGGCCCTACAGGATTTCTGGGGTACCTTGAGCAGCTCAGCGATCAATGGAGAAGGCTTCCCTGGGTTCAACTGGCCTCTTATACCAATACGGATCAATACTGGTTGTCATGCATGCCTGCTGTGGCGTGCCGTAGGGCTGTCATCCGAGAGCAGGGGCCGCGGCCAGAGGCGGTGTCTGGTGGGTCTACGACATCATCCGCGTAGGCTGGGCTGCGCGACCGCCCGTGCAGTTAAGGATTTCCGCATGCCTTCTTAGCGGTTCTGCCTCGACGATGACGATGACGATGATGATGACGATGACGATGAGGCGATGACGATGACGATGACGATGAGGCGATGACGATGAAGACGATGACGATGAGGACGATGACGATGAGGACGATGACGATGATGATGTTGATGATGATGATGGTGATGATGGTGATGGTGATGATGCTGATGATGATGACGACGACGGTGAGGATGATAGTGATGGTGGTGATGACGATGACGATGACGATGAGGCGATGACGATGACGATGACGATGACGATGACGATGACGATGAGGCGATGACGATGACGATGACGATGACGATGAGGACGATGAGGACGATGACGATGAGGACGATGACGATGAGGACGATGACGATGAGGACGATGACGATGATGACGATGACGATGATGATGCTGCTGATGATGATGGTGGTGATGATGACGATGGTGATGATGCTGATGCTGATGACGACGACGATGAGGATGATGGTGATGATGGTGATGATGATGATGATGATGATGATGATGACGATGATGGCGGCGAGCTAGGGGGGAAATGAGAAGGGGTGGGCCTTCTCAGAAGGCTCGGAAGTCCCCTGGTCTTCTGCTGAGTTTTCTAAGCCTTCTCCGACGACACAGAGAATGTCTCAGAAGGCCGCAGGGCTTCTGAGAAGTCCAGCTGCCTTCTGAGAAGGCCTTCTCCTTCTCATTTCCCCCCCTCGCTCGCCGCCGAGATTCTCATCATTCTTAGACTCATTCGAACGCCTTCTCATCCTTCTACAGGCGATACCCAATCACAATCCCTCATCCGCCTCCCAGCTCATGGTTCCTGGCGTTCCCCATTCATCTCCAAGACGAGTCGAATTGTGCATGGCCTGACCCCTGGCATCAGGCCTCCCATCGACGAGAGAATGAAGGGAATTATCAGAGTGCGGAGGCCGAACGGTCTTACGGTACACTGTCCCTGGGTGCGTGGCTGAAGTAGAGTTCCGCGGTGCGAATTGTTTTTTTTTTGTTCTTGAATTCCCAATCGGAAGAATAGATTGTTGCTGATCGCCCTCGCTCATTCAATTTTCTCCATTGACGTGGCGCCGTTATCCCGTGTGGTTTTCCCCCTGGTTGATTTCGCCTTGGCCGTTCTTATGTGTTGTTGAACCTATTGTTGCGAGACGCGGTCGTTGCCAGATTCTTAGGGTTTTTTTGACACTGTTCCCCGATCAGGTTTGCCGAAGGGGTTCTCACCTGGTTAAAGGTTGGGTTCTCGAGACGCTACTTTGCCCGTTCCTCGGAAGTTCCTCGGGTTCCTGAGGGGCTCTTGAGTTCCTCGGGTTCCCCGGGTTCCCAAGCAATGCCAAGGCAATGCTGAACAATGCCAAGCAATGTCAAGCAATGCCAAGCAGTGCAAAGCAATACCACGCAATGCCAAGCAATGCCAAACACTGCGCCCATGCAATAGGAAGCTTTCCCCTAATTGGGGTCACACCGAGTTCATTTCTTTACAATGGGGTTGCCCGGGGGTTCCTTAGCTTTGTTTCGGTACAAGGCGTTCCCTGGGTCTTTTGTTATTGGTTCCCCAGATTCCTTGGTCTTGACTCCTTGGCTTCTTGGTTTTGGTTCCTTGGTCTTGGTTCCTCGGTTCCTTTGTTTTAGTTCCTTGGTTCCCTGATATTGGTTCCCTGGTTCCTTAGTTCCTCGGTGTTGCTTCCTTGATTCCCTTGTCTTGGCTGCTTGGTGCCGTGGTCTTGGTTCCTTGGCTCCGTGTTCTTGGTTCTTTGGTTTGGGTTCTGTGGTCTCGCCACGCAATGCCACGCAAAGCCAAGCCACGCCACGCAATGCCAAGCAAATCCAAGCAGCGCCAATCCATGCCAAGCCGTGCCAAGCAATGCCACACAATGCCAAGCAAGGTTAAGCAGGGCCAACCAACGTCAAGCAATGCCAAACAATGCCAACCTTTGCGCCCACGCAAAAGGAAGCTTCACCCAAATTGAGGTCGCGCAAGGCTCATTTGTCAGGGTAGTTATCCGGGCCCAAGCTGCGCTCTGGCTTCCCGGCTACAGTAGAAAAACGGCCCCCGCTTGAGATTTCATAGCAGTTTGTTCAGGGATCGTGCTCTCACCCAAGATGTCCTTGGAATTGTTGGCGCTTTGTATATCCTCACCAGCCCATCCGGGAAAGATCCCCAGCAGCCACAAATGCTTTCGCGGATCTTCCGAAGGAGGATGATGATGATGAGGAGGAGGAGGAGGATGCAGAAGGAGAGTTGCGAAGAGGTGTATGATGGGGAGGAGGAGGGCAAGCAGATGGAAGAGCTTCTCCGAGCACGTTCCCACCCAGCTTCACGGGAACCGATGTTGGAGGATCAGGAGAAGGAGGAGGTGGAGGAGTAAGAGGAGTAAGAGGAGGAGGAGAAGGAGGAGGAGGAGGAGGAGTAAGAGGAGGAGGAGGAGGAGGAGGAGGAGGAGGAGGAGGAGGAGGAGGAGAAGGAGGAGGAGGAGGAGGAGGAGGTGGTAGGAGGTTGTAGGAGGGCAGGGTATCGTTAGAACAGCGGCGCGGACCAGCACTGCCCCCCTGGAGACCGAAGAGTCGCCTCTTGGACCCCGCTTGAGACGCCCTTGGGCGCTCTTGAAGTGGCTTTGGGGCCTGTCTAGGCCCGTGTGGAGCTCTCTTGGACGACCCTGGAACCATCTTGAGGCCCCAGAAGCCGCTGGTAAGCGAAACTGCGAGAAGGCAAGCCGCGATGAAATATGCTAGCTAGGTGTTTGAATGATGTGGGCATCTTGGGGGCGGTCTTGGGCTGCCCCGTGGCCACTTGAAGCCGACTTGAGGCTGGCTCGGTGCATCTTGGAGGCATGCTGGAGGCCATATCGAGCTGAGTTGGAACCTCACGCAGTAGTGAAGAACCCTTGGAGACATCTGGAGCCAACACTTTCCAGTAATGCCTGCGAAAATACACAACCTCATCAAAACACCTGAGGTGTTTCGACTGCTCTCCTTCGGGTGAAAAAGATGGCGCCGACTAGCTTTGCCCTTGTGGAGCCTGAAACATAGTCTCT